AGGATTCAACTTTCACACATCCATAAATGTAGGTATATCACAAAAATGGTTTCAGGGACAGAAATCACACGATCATTCCAATAGAGGCAGAAAAAAACTTCTGACAAAATCCAACATCTACCTCTCATTGATAAAAGCCTTGAAAAGACAAGGAGTACTCTCTCCCCTCTCTCTCTCTCTCCCTAAAAGTCACAGAAACACAAGAAGCTACAGATGAGTGCACAATCAAAATAAAAGTTGTTAGTGCATTTTTATAGTAATTGAGAGAACAAGTAAAAAGTATGTTGATTAGAAAGATGTAGTAAATAACAACAGACACAAGTAAAACATGTAGCAGATGGACTACACATTCTTTTCAAGCATACATAGAACATTGAAAAAGACAATCATAGGGCTAGAGAGTGACTCAGTGGTGACAGCACTGGCTGCTCTTCCAAAGGACTGGAGTTCAATTCCCAGAACCCATATGGGGGTCCCAGGGGGATCTTCTGCCCTCTTCTGGCCCTTGTGGGAACTGCATGCACCTGGTGCACAGACATACATATAGGCAAAATACTCCTACACAAAAAAGTAATAAATAAACAAAATACCCCAAAAAGTTAATCATATTTGGATAATAAGGAAAACACCACAAATTTCAAATCATACAGATAATCCTCTCTGACTATAATGTCAGTAACAAAAACCATGACAGGTCAGCAGGGTGGCTCAGAGGGTAAAAGCACTTCCTGTGCAAGCCTGATGACCTGAGCTTGAGCACTGCATGTGTGAACACACACACACACAGTACCACAGCGCACGCACACACACACACACGCACACACATGCACACACACACACGCACACACACACACACACGCACACACACACACACACACACAGTACCACAGCGCACGCACGCACGCGCGCGCGCACACACACACACACACACACACAGTACCACAGCGCACGCACGCACGCGCGCGCACACACTCCATCATATTCTAGAGATGCAGACAGACTTCAACCCGCACAAATCAATAAATGTAATGCATCACACAAATGGACAGAAGTCATATATGATCATCTCAACTGATGTCGAAAAGGCTTTTGACAAAATCCAACATCCTTCATGTTAAAAGCCATGAAAAGACCAGGAGTAGAAGGAATACAAAAGAAAGGGTGTAAACGACAAGCCTACAGTCAACTTACAAAATGATCCATAGGTCAAAAGAACAAATCTGTGTAGTAAAGATGTCTATTTGAAAAAAGAAAATCATTAAATATTTTTGATTATAAGATAGCAACAATACTATTTACCCAAACTCCTGGGATGTAGTGAAGATAGTAATGAGAAAAATCGCTAACATAATTATACTAAAGTGTAATAACTTGAGCACTTACAATAGGATAAGGGCTAATGAATTAAGGAACTGTCCCAGGACCATAGAAAGCAAACAATAATAAACCCAATGCAGAGGAAGGAAAATCATGAGAGACAGGACCTGTTAAACTTCAACCTGGAATACACAGCATAGGATTTGTAGGTCTATAGTCATTCTGTTCCAGAGATAGATAAACCATTGGGACAGAACAGAGTTCAGAATCAGAACCCTCTGCAGTCAACTGCTGTATGCCAAAATCGTCCCTGCAGTGTCACAGAGTGAACAAAACCTCCCCACCATTCAAACATAATGCAGTTTACAAGGGAAACACCCCAAAAGGTTTCCCTCTGTTCACTGCCTTTGTCTGTGGCTCCTCTCCGCCCTGTCTGCACAGTGTCTGTCATTCTGGCATCCCCACCTCACTGAATACTTTTGCGTCTGGCCCCCAAAGATCATTCCTTTGGGAATTTCCTCTGCCATTGGTGACTTATTCTTTTAGGGAAAGGAATTGTGCAGTTCATATTTGGAATGGAGTGTTCAAGGACAGCCTTGAGGAGAGGGTGATGGTTTAGAAGACTGTGAGAAGGTGGGACAGAGAGGCCAGGAGACACGCAGAGCTGGGCCCTCCTCAGCTCAGCTATTTGGCAGATTAGGGAGGCACAGGTGGATGCCTGGGCTCTCAGGTGTTCTTTCTTCTTGGGATCTGGTATGCAGCTGGAGTGAGAGTTAATTTACTGCGCATATACACAAAGTACTGCACGTGCCTCCAACATGCCATGGGTGCTGCTACTCTAAGCACAACCACTACTGTGCCTACCCCACCCCAGATGGCCTCCACTTTGGTTGTCAGGAGAGCCCACAGAGGGTCCAGTCTCCTCAGAGGGCACAGTGGAAGTCTGAAGCTTGCAATCATTAGGAAGAGAGTAGAAAGCAGATAATATGCCTAGTCCGCAGCCATCCCATACTGCAGTACATCACTTCAAGGAGAATGGTTCCAAGTGGAAAGTGAGGGACCTAGGAAAATTCCTTTGATCCCAATCTACCCAGTATGATTTAATATCTCACTGAGTTTTAGTTCAGCAGAATAGTTATCTACAAATAAGAACACATCCTATGTGGCAGGCAGACCTCCAAGGTAGCCCTAAGATCTCCACTCTAGGTGCCCCTGGTAAAACCCTCTCCCCTTGAGGGTAGATGGGGCCTCATGCTATTCTACATGGTTAGGCTACAACCCATGGCCAAGTGAACTGACTTGGGGAAAGTCAGTTCTTGATTCTGGGTTGATCGAAGTGTTGTCTTGGGTTATCTTGACCTAACAGTGTGAATTCCTTAAAGAGTCTTTAATGGTCAGATAAAGCGATAAAGCTGAAGTGAGAAGAATTTGGAGTAAGACAGTAACAGGAGGGGACACAGGAGGGAGTCTCTGGCTGGCCTTGCACAGTAAGCAGTGTGTGTGTGTGTGTGTGTGTGTGTGTGTGTGTGTGTGTGTATGTATGTGCATATCTGTGTCTATGTGCAGATAGTTTGAAGAGGGCTCGATGGCAAAGACTAGTACAGGACAGTCTTCCAGGTGGCCTTTGACAAAACCAGTGCTGTTGTCACTGGAACCCCATAGGTTCTCTGAGCTGCTGCTGCATTCAACTCACTAAGCTTGTTTCTTGAAGAGCCCACATCAACTTGCTCCTTCTTGGTGAAGAGTGAAGCTTCACTTCAATGGTGGTGTATGAATAGTCATCTGGGCCCGTTAGGCTGGCAGCTTCTGCAGGTGATATAGGTTACCACCAATTCCCTGGATTGCTTTGCATGTGGCTCAGTCAATGGTGCTGAGGCAAGAAAGAGCCAGTTAGGTGTTTCTGAGGACTTTGTAGCAGCCAAGACAGCAATTTATTCTTATTTGCAACATTACCTCCAAGATAGTGACATGGCCCTGATCCAAAGCCAAGGATACCATTGAGGAAGCCCCATAAGTCTTGACCACAAGGCTTCCCAGCACAAACAAGGCCTCACCAGCTTCCATCCATTCCTTCATTGGCATGTGTCTTGTATTCCCCACCTACAGCATGTGGATGAGAGTGACTCCTGAGTTATTCTGACAAGCCTTGAGATGACACCACTACACCTAGAAGGTGTGAGCATGCCAAAATGCATGAGATATCGACCCTTGCCTAAAGACCCACATGCTACTCTTGTGCCCACAGTTCTGTACCCAGAGGGTGAGCTGAACAGAAGTGTCACGATCACCCAACCACTGTCTTTCTACCAGTGTGAGGCCCTGGACAGTCTGCATGGTAGAGGAAGGATGTGGTTAGAATCTATTTCTCCAACATCTTCTCTCCTTAAAGTCATGATTTCTCCACACGATTACTCATCCTTCAATTCTTTGCAAACACAAAGGTAGCAGTGGCCTTGCTGGGTGATCCACAGACATGGCATTAGCCTTTGGTGTCATTAACCTCTGCACATTGCCTGGCAAATATTCCCTTTCTGGAACCTACCCTCTCAGACTTTCATGGCAGCATCTTGATTAGCAATGCCCACCCTCTAGATCCTACTCTTCTTTTTTTCTGAAAGACAGATGTATGGCAACGCTTACAGTGTCTTGGCTAAGAACTGAGTTCCACTTCCTGGCAGCATGTTGCTGGCTGGAGCTCTCAGCAGAACACTTTCTCTGCTGTCTGCTAAGACGGCACACCGATGAGGCGTCCCTCCCTTCTCTGGTAGCCACGCCTCTGGAAGTGGGGGCTCTACATGGGAAGGGCTGGTCAAATGCCAAGCCAGAATCAGGAGGCTTTGTGTTCCAGCGGGGACCAGGGCTGGCGACACGCCCTTAGTGCATGCTGGTAGTGAAGCTCCCTGGGAGATGCTTGGGAAGACATACTCTTTCATATGATATCTGAGAAGGCCTTTGAGTTTCAATTTTGCAGTTATTTGTAATGCAAGTGATGATTTGATTTTCAATTTTGCAGCTGTTTATAATGCAAGTGATGAGCTGAAAACGTATTGCTTTGTCTCAGGATGAACTTACATCTGTCCAGATATTTGCTTTGAGTCAATTGTTATACCGATTGAAAAGTCAAAGAAGACACATCTGGCTTCCTCCCTGTCTTCCTCACTGGCATTGTAGAGTCATGAGATAATGCTAGACACCAAGAGGCTCAAGCCACTTCTGTGTTTCCTCCCCTGGGAGGCCAGAAAGACTGGGAGTGACACAGGAAGCTGAAGTTCTGGGTACAGGACTTGCCCATGTGATAGCAAGTGGCAGAGTCTCTCGTTTTCTCTTCTAACTCAATCGTATTGCCTATCCTTCTTCAGCTTCCACAGGCATGAGGGATGGGAAGACAGGCAGGCCAAGTAGCATGGCACTTCTGTCCAGGGAAAATCTGGGATTCAGGAAGAAGAGAAATGACTGGGGAGGCACCGGCATGCCTGCTCACACCCAGCCAGGGTCCGGAGACAGAGTACAACATCTTTACAGCAGGGTTGGTACAAATGGAGAGTTCTGATGGCAAATCCCAAGAACCATGATCTCCCTCTTGTTCACTGGGGAAAGATGCAGTTAGGCTGCTGCACAGGGGTGGGGTGAGTGAGTAGGGGTGAGTGCTGAGGAAGTGGAGCCTGCGGGCAGCACACACTCACCTGCCTGCTCTAGAGCTACCATGGTGGCCTGCTCGATCAGGTCCCGCTCGATGAAGCTCCTGAAGTCCTCACTGTACACGCTCAGGTCCGGCAGCTGGAACGTATAGATGGGCATCTCCAGGGGGAACTGCTCATTGTTGCATTCATTTGCCACGTGGGACCGGGCCAGGGAGACGATCGCTGAGCTGGCATGGGAAATCCCCCGGGAAAGACGTTTCTCTGCTGGTAAGAAGAAAGGATAGCCACAGGGACCATGTCACTGTCAATGTGACTCTGACAGTTGGTGAAGCCATGCTTGAACACACACATACAGCACACATACCATATACATGCAGACACATATAAGCACACACAGATGTAGATAAATCCTTAACTATATACTATGAACATATAACACATATATCCCCCCTCACATACACACATATAATACACTATGCACACATTATAAATGCACATATACACATTTTACAGTACACTAATACATGCACACAGTATACAGAACTATCATAAGTATGTTTACATATACATACACATGACACTTATTATTTTAATTTTTAAATTAGATTTACTCATTTCACCTTTTGTGTTTTCTTTGAATTTATGTATGTGTACTGTGTATATATCTGGTGACTGAGGAAGTCAGAAGAGTGCATTGGATCCCCTGGAACTGGAGTGTGGATGGTTGTGTGTCACCGTGTGTGTGCCTCTATGAAAGCAACAAGTGTCCTTAACTGCTGAGCCTTACCTACAGCCTCAATGTGACAACTTTAGACAACACATTTATTTACGTACATATACACACAGGTACACACCATATATACATGAATACATGTACACATACACAGGTATAAAAATGTACTACATACTATAAATATGGACGTGTATATCCCCAAACATATACTCATGCACATGTACTATATACCATGTACATGTTGTACACACATGAACATGGATACATATGCATACACTACATATGCAATAGAATATTTACACAGCAAGTATGTAACACAAACACATAGGACACACTACACATGCAGGTACATCTACGCGCCCACTATACTACAGGCACATAGGAACACACATGCACACCACACTCATGCACACACACACTCACATCCTTTGCACATCAGCCTTTCTATTTTTCAAGCCTCTCTCACATTGCAGGCCTGCCTGCTACTGGACTAACCCTGGTGTGTGGCCCTGCCTCAGCCGAACCTCAGAACCACTGAGAGTGGTGCTGCAAGCTCCCTGACAGGAGCAACAGGGCTTGCTTTTGCTCTTGGGCTCCATTTAACTCTACTCCTCAGAGTCTTCCTTTCCCAGCAGTGAGTGGGACTTGGGAGGCCATCTTTGTTTTCATGTATTCACAAATTTAAAGCAAGAATCATCCCGCTGGGGCTGCTCTGCTGTGGTCAAGGCTTTCCAGACATGGGCTACTTTATTCTTGCTTCTGCAATGAGCATTTCCCATGTGGACATCCGGGGGACATACAGATGGAGACGGTGCATGCTTCCTGGCTACCGTACGTTCTTTTGTCCCAGCACTCTCTGGTACTGTGGCCTCCTCCATTTTATCCTTTGCGGACTTTCTGCCCAAAGGATGAGAAACACAGGGGAGGATGTCTCTAAGGCATGGTCTGTTACCCTGTTAGAACTTGGATGATCTGAAGTGAATGCATTGCTCTCTTGCTGCACTGAAACATATTGAAGAAAATAAAACCTAATGCTTACTGGGTAACATGACATACACTAGAAGTCTATTTTTTATAGAGCCAAGGGTGGCCTTGAATTTAATATCTTCCTGTCTCAGCCTCCAAGTGCAGGGATTATAGGTGTGCCCTGTATATGATACAGGAATAGTCCCCTGTACAGCCAGTGTTTGTGGCATGGGACTTCTCACAACAGAAGTCCTCTTATTCATCTCAGGGAAAGAGGACCGTTGGTGTTTGAGTGCAACTATGGTCAAAATCCTGTGGCAGACTCCTGAGTATATACATATGAGTTGCTCACCTCCTTTCAGTAAAGCATCCCTGATGCATGGAAAACTGAAGCCACTGCCTTCCTCAGAGCAAGACTTCCTACATAGCCTCATTTGTATGTCAGTGGCCAGAAATGGCATTATTGCAATTTTGTGAAAGCAGACGTCCTCATACATTTTCCCCATTCAAATGGACAGAAAGTATAAAGATTGCATATTTCAGAATGAAAGGCTTCAATTCACTTCAATTTCATTCTGAGACAACAGGATTAGGTTATCTTATATCTTGAGGAAAGAAAAAAAAGAAAGAAATGAAACTACAGAGGCCATCTGGAATAAGAAACAAGAGAGATGGAATGGGGTTGTCTGTCACTGGGAGATGTCCCTATTGCTTCTTGCACCCACTTCAAATCCCTAAGAGCATTAGTCAAGTGCTCCAATACTACCAGGCACTGTCTCCCCTCCCCTCCAACATGCCAATAAGCTGGACAATGGCCACAATAGGTTTAGCTCTTATAAACAAGCAATGTCTATAACAGTGGTTCTGGAAGTTTCCCTGAGGAGATACCAAATGTAGGGAAGGAGAAGTTCCCTTAAGCCTAAAGTAAAATATGCAAAGCCCAGTAATTCTAACACTGGATGTACATCCAAAGAGGAGAAAATCATTGTGGGTATCTGCTCTCCCACGAGATCTACAGCATTAGTCACACAGCGAAGAAATAGAAGCAACACAGGTCTCTATCAGCAGAATGGAATAAGAAAGGTGATCACACACATAGAAGGGAATATTGTTTATTAATGAAAATAGTGAGATTGTGTCATTTATGACAACATGGATGAACCTAAGGAACCTACACCAGTCTCACAGCTGGGGAACCAGCATAGAACTGAACCAGGCTGCCTGAACATGGGTATCAGTTGCAGGACCTGGACAGTTTATAGGGCCTCTGGCAGTGGAACCAGTTTTTATCCCTAGGCCACAAATAGGTTTTGGGAGGGAGCCCATTCCCTATGGAGGGATACTCTCTCAGCCTAGATACATGGGGGAGGGCCTAGGTCCTGCCCCAAATGATATGTCAGTCTTTGATGATCCCTCATGGGATGCCCTGGGGAGTGGATGGGGGTTGGAGAGGCTTGGGAGGATGGGAGGGAGAGGGAACTGGGATTGGTATGTAAAATAAGATTGTTTTTAATTTAAATAAAAATTTATTTTTTAAAAAAAGATTACAGTTAGATATGAGGAATAAATCCTAATGTTTCATAGCATAGTGGTGACCACAGTTCATAATTTACTGCATTTTTCCAAGTTGTCAGAAAAAACATTTTGAATGTCTTCAGCAGAGACAATGATAACTGGGATGACAGATGGGCTAGCCCTCAGAGGATTATTACACATTGTTCATCTATATTGAAATAGCCACAGCACCCTATGAATGTCAAACACAAAGACAAGAAACTCAAGGCTGGCCACCTGCAGCCCTTTCATACTCAACCAGAGGACCAGCTAGAGCCACACTGCCTGTTTTTGCCTAATATGCTCTAGTCTGAGGTCCTGATAATCACAGCGCTAGGTGCTCACAGGGACACTGAGGAAACAGCTGAGGAAGGCAGGCATGTATAAGAAAGTAGTCAGAGTGTTTATGTTACAGGAGCCAGACTAAATCGGCTGAATTTATAAATGCACCCAGAAAACATGTTCAGAGAAACACAGAGGCTACCGTGAAATACTAATAATACCAAGAAATAATTTGGGATGAAAACACAAGTGTCGACTCACAACAAAAGCCCAGGAAAAAGAAGCAGGTAAGAATGCTTAGGCGATGAGAAGAGGAGCCTCAAGAAGACAGCTGAGGATGCTTACAAAGAATTCAAGGAAATAAATGAGAACCAGGGAGCTTTGTTCCACTAACAAAATTTGAATTGGTCATGCAAACTTTTTCAGGCACTTAAGGTCTAAGAGATTTTCTGCAAAAATAAGGTTTGAAGGCAGTATTTGAGGAAACACTCTTTTTGAAAGAGGGAAATAGATGTAGCCACATGTCTCTTAATGGATAGATATCTTTTGAGGACTACATGTGACATCACACAGTGGCCTCACAGAGAATTGTGTGGTGTGGCCCATGCTTTCAATGTGGTCTCTTTATGCCACTGACAGGCAAGGTAAATGCTGAGGCTGCAGCCAGAGAAACCTGACAGCCTCTTTTACAGTAAGTGTCTTGTCAGAAATTCACACTAAAATAGCAATAAAAAGCATAGTACAGAAAATATCTAAACATGTGCTCCATGATACTCATATTGACATCAATTATTTATTATCAGTACTTTAATATACTAGATGATGTGAGGTCACATAACTGTAATTCTAGTAAAGATGAGGCTCAAGTAACACACACACACACACACACACACACACACACACACACACACACACGCCCGGTATTCATTGCTAAGAACAGGAGAAATATTCTTCCCCAGGGATAAATCCCTCCATTTGGGTTATCCAATACCGAGTGGTCAGCCCTGACTCATACAAATACTAACCAGAATCAGCAGGTTGTGCTTGTGTATTTGTTTATGTAACAATAATAATTAAAGAAAAGAGGGAATGAGGAGAGGAATGGGAGGGGCTAGAAGGAGGAGGGAAATGATATAATTATATTTTAATCAAAATTACAAATAACAAGAAATCATTATATCTAAATGTAAACAAGATATCAAATGCCCTTGGGTGATATGATTTCTCTGTGGCAATAACCTAGGGCCATCTTTTTAGAACTATTAGTAGTAACAAGATCCCATGTTTATGTGGCTGCCTGGATGACAGGCAAGTGCAGGATGACTTACTTTCTTCTGTGTCTAGTCCTAGCAGAATTCAAATATGCAGAGAGGTGTACACATCAGTATTGGGTACAAGAAACATGCCAACTTAAAGATTAGACAGGACCCCATTCAATCACAACTGTATAAAGCTAACAAGGAAGCATAAATACACAAAATAGTGAAAACCTTTGGAAAAGCAGTAAGGGAGTTTGCTTTAGAGAGTAACGTGTAGGAAGCTGACAGAGTCAACAGTAACGGCTAGACAGCAGCATGCTAGACACACAGGGTCCACAAACAGATTCTGAAACATCTGGGACTTTGAAGTGTGGTCCAGTTGGTATTTAGTCCAGAGGGGAATAGCAATCTGATCAATAAATGGGGAGGAAGCACTGTATTCAGAAGATAGCAGCTGAGAGCCTTTGCTGTTGTTTATGAGGTTTTCAGATTGATGGAAACATTTGAAGGTTAAACTGACAAACGATAAGTAAAAGGACTTATTAACCATGTATTTTATTTTTCAAATCCAGAGAAGAGCTCATAGGCTGGGGTATTAATACTGTAAATATTTCTGTATGGCAAAGTCCTTTGAACACAACGTCATAAGGCAAATGACACAGTGCATGGGTAGAAACGTGTGCCTATTCTACAAGCTGATAAAGGAAAGCACATTGATTGGTGGGAAAATGAACCACATGAAGAAACAGGCATGTAGCAGAGGAGAAGGCCAACTAACAAGCAAACCATGAGGTGAAAGTTAAAACAAGATGGCAGCTTCCATTCTTTAAAATACCGCCAAGGCAAAGCCATAGCAAGGACACACAGAGCTGGCAGGAGCAGAGCGAAGCACTGGGTGTGCAGTCAGTGAGCAGGAGGACGATTACAGGAAGCCACAGCAAGCGCACTGCATGGCGCTAGCCTGTAGGGAGGGAAGCACTGGTATGAGCTTTACAGGACTAAGTGTTTCTTTAAAGATTTGTTTATTTTCATTTTTTATTGTGTATGAGTGCTTTGTCTGCATAGATGTACATGTACAGCCTGAATCTTGGTGCTCTATAAGGCTAGAATGGTGCATCAGATCCCCTGGAGTTAGACATAGTTGTCAGCTGCCAGGTGGGTTCTGGGAATTGAACTCGGGTCCCCTGGAAGAGTAGCCAGTGCTCTTATTCACCAAGCCTCTCAGACCCACGTCACATTATGTGTGTGTGTGTGTGTGTGTGTGTGTGTGTGTGTGTGTGTGTGTGTGTGAGGGTGGCAATGACAAACAAATGGCAACACAAATCTAAGAAAACCCAGGATGGCTATTTATACAGAAGGGTTAAATATACCATGTAACAAAATGTAGCAACCAAGAGAATCAACGGTGCTCCATAAAGTAAACAGTTTGTAAGCCACGTGTCTCCCTGACTATTAAGCCTTTGCATCTTGAACAAGCTTAGCAGAAGGAGGTAGATGTGGCTGATCACTGGTTATCAAGACAGTGAAAGCTGGAGGTGGGACAAAAAAACCTTTCAAGTTTTCTTTTTATAAACACTGTTACAAGTCTATCTTAGTCTAAACACAAAAAAGAACAGTAAGAAGAAATGCATGGAAGATGACTTGAGTGACTTGGAGACTAAGCTGTCAGAAGTAACTGGAGGACCAGTCAGGCAAAGCAGGACTCCCCAGTGGGTGGCCCAGCTCTAAAGGCTTCAGGAACACTCGTGGGCTTTCTAGGGAGATATGGTGTCACAGATTCATGCTGTGTTTTAGCCTACTGTGAGGAGTTGGACATTAAGAGTTCATTTGGCTTGGTGATGTTGACCACACTGTTCCCTACACCTGCAGGCCCCTCAGCTGGTACCTTGGGCAATTTCCTCCTGCCTCTGGAGGCAGGGTCGCTCCACCTTGTGCCCAGGCTGGGGCAATTCTCGGTCGGGCTGCTTGGCACACCTCCCTTCATTGAACACATGTGGCAGGTTGGCTGTGTGCACCTGACGGAGTTGCTCATAGTCGCTTAGAGCAGCTGTCAGGTCCCAGTTTTTACCTGTGGATAGAAATGACAAGAGATTATAACCGAAATGGAGGAATCATGACTTTCCTAGAGAAAAGGAAGTTGCTGAGCAGTGTCTGGAAGTAGCCTTTGACACCCATAATGAATGACCTGAAATACGAGATACAGCGCGTCTCATTAACAGACACATACACGCCTGTGAACATTATTCCTCTAATGACCCTCAAAGTGTAGCACTTAGCAAGGGCTGTGCCAGGAGAGGAAATCCAGGTCACATAGCACTGGTTTTGGACACTTAAAACATCTGGGAAGCCTTACAGGTCAGGTTTCCGGAACAGCATGGCTGAAGTTCTGAGCTGTTTGCACACAACTCAGGGACACGGTGACTTTGGAGACTGCCATTCTGGAATGAAACTGATCACCCTCTGAAGGACTTATGAATTTCCTAAGATCTCACCCATGACATCCAGAGAGACCGAGCTCCATTCTTTCCCCCATACTTTTACATAACTCTTGGAAAAGAAGTGAAGTAAGGAACAGTCCCCTTTGGCTTAAGTCACTACACAGTCACCTTCTGGTAAAACTTTCACGAATACTTGCAAGGCTGCCCAGCTCCAGTGTCTTCCAGATCACAGTCTGTTAGGCCCTAGGTGAATGTGACTGTGATTTCATCTTGACTACAAGGAACAAGGCACAGAATGCAAAAAGAACTCCCAGGCTCTATGAATTTACTCAGCCTTACATAGGACAAGCAGAAGTGCAGCTTGGGAGGCTTTCTCTTGTTGAGGGCTTCAGCTACAGTCTGGTGAGTGCTCCAGCTTGCTCAACCAGCACACAGAGATGTTGCACACCCCAGCTGGGCCACGCCTGGGTGCTAATACATCATTATGCTACTTAGAGTAGCAGGGGCACAGGGTTTGGAGACCCTCTTCAGTGACTATGACAGTGAACATGTCATTCTGTACACAGAACCTTGGATTCCCTCTCTGTACAACCGAGTTAGTAAAATCCCAATTCAGCTGGAACTGATATGAAGGTTAAAGAGACACAGAGAGAGTGTTTTAAGTACTCGACATATAAAACAGCAGAATGTGAACATGAAAATTAACAAAATCAGAAATGAAAAGGGGGACATAACAACAGACATTGAGAAAATCCAGAGAACCATCTGGTCATAGTTTGAAAACATTTACTCCATAAAATTCAAATATTTAAAGGAAACGGACAATTTTCTGGATAGATATCCCCTGCCAAAATTAAATCAAGAACAGATAAGCAATTTAAATAGACCTATAAACCCTAAGGAAATAGAAGCAGTTATCAAATTCTCCCAACCAAAACAAGCCCATGTCCAGATGCCCTCAGTGCAGTATTCTTCAAGAAATTCAAAGACTGGCTTATTCTCTTCAAAGTATTCCATGTGTTAGAAGCAGAAGTGTCTTTGCAAATGGTATTAATCCAGACAACAGACATGTTAGTTGGTAAGAATAGTTACCTAGTAAATGGTATTAGTCCAGATAACAGTCATGTTAGTTGGTAAAAACAGTTAGCCCACACCATCTGGGTTACTCAACAGAAAGACAGTACACTTGGTGGAACTTTGTGTGGATGAGAGGAGGAGGTGTTGATGTTATGTGGACTCATTTTTTGAATGTGGGTTAGGTGGGTGGTGGACATGACAACAAACAGAAGAAGAAATTATAGAGGACTGAAGGGACCAGACCCTGACTCAGCCCCTGCTTTGGCAGCCATGACAGGCTGCAGAAAAGACCCAGCAAGACAAAGGCCCCTGACTCAGCAGCATGTGCTGAGCTTTCAACCTTGCCCAACCTTGCCCCAGTCACTAGGAAGCCAGATGCCCTCCATGTGGCAAGGAACCAATCAGAAGTTAGCTGGTGGGTTCTGGATGTGCTTTACAGTGCAGTGGCTTGCAGAGCACAGCAACTGCCCTGGGAGGGCCTATAGGGCATAGCAACCTGATTGCAATTGCAATTGACCAATAACACAGAGCAGGTTGCCCAAGCCTAGAAGTCCACCAATCCTGAGACTGCTGTGGACCCCAGACACCCTCCTTGCTCTACCCAAATTTATTCCCTGGCCTATGGTCCCTCCCAGTCCTTCTTGCTCCACCTGCTGCTGATGGAGGACCTGAGTTAATACAGTTAACTCGTTAATTAGAGCCTTTTTGCTTTTGCATTGGGTCTCTTGGTGATTTTGGGATTCAGAGTTTGGGCACAACAGGACACAATCAGTGTAAAAATCCACTCATCTGACTAAACAGAGTTTTCCTCATACTTATCACCATTCAATTAAGGAGTTTGCTCATGTCTGATTTATATTGCTTTTCACAAAATCTCTTGGAGGAGGGGGGAAAGAGAGGAGGGACAGCATTATTGAGGCATACCGCAGGAAATGAACTCAATTGTCTAAAGAAAAGAGAAAGAAGATAGAACAAAAACAAACAGCTTAAAAGCAGCCATTAATGCTGGGCGTTGGTGGCGTACGCCTTTAATCCCAGCTCTCAGGAGGCAGAGGCAGGCAGATCTCTGTGAGTTTGAGACCAGCCTGGTCTACAAGAGCTAGTTCCAGTGTTGTGCCCAAATTCTGAACCCCAAAATCACCAAGATGCCCATTTCGATGCAAAAGCAAAGGTTTTTTTTTGTTTTTTTGTTTTTTTTTGAGACAGCGTTTCTCTGTATTGTTTTAGAGGCTGTCCTGGAACTTGCTCTGTAGATCAGGCTGGCCTCGAATTCACAGAGGTTTGCCTGCCTCTGCCTCCCGAGTGTTGGGATTAAAGGCTGTGCCACCAGCGCCTGGCTAAAAGCAAAGTCTTTTATTGTAGATGTTTCACAAGCTAACCCCATTAGCTCAGGCCCTTCACCCCACCACCATGGTGGATGGCTGGAGAAAGACCCTGAGCAACCTTGAGGCAGGGGCCTTAAAGGGCAGTGTAAGGGGAGTGTCTAGGGGTATGAAACAGTCTCAGGATTGGTGTGCTTCTAAGTTCGGACAACCTGCCCTGTGTTGATTGGTCAACTGGTTGCTATGGCCCATAGGCCCTCCCAGGGCTGTTGCTATGCTCTGCATGTCACTGTTGTGCACTTGTCGGTAAAGCGCACCCAGAGCTGTAAAGCACAGCCCTGCCAGCTAACTTCTGATTGGCTCCTTGCCACGAGGAGGGCATCTGACCTCCAAGTGACCAGGACAGGAGCGGCAAGGTCATGCAAGCACATGTTAGCCTGTCATGGCTGCTAAAATGGGGAGGCTGGTCACTACACTGGGGCAGTCTCCAAAGCCACAAAAAAACCCTGTCTCGCAAAACCAAAAAAAAAAAAAAAAAAAAAAAAAAAAAGTAACCATTAGTCAGCAGATTAAAGTTTTCTAGATACTAGAAAAATATTTTCAGATAAAAAGCTAAGAAAACATAGAGATTGACATTTAAGGTATGTATATTTTAAAGTAGACACAACCAATTCTATCTCCCAAAGCAATATGGGAGTGGACTTAACACAACATGTAAGGAAAATGAATGAATATTTGCTGTAGGAGTCAAAAATGGTGGTGCAGGTCTGATATCCTAGCTGGTTAGCAGGCTGAGGCAGGAGGATTACACTTTCGAGGCAGGGGTAAAGAGTGAGTTGAAGGTTAGTCTGTACAGCTCACTGAGACTATCTCAAAATAAATGATGGGGTGGGTGCTGGGAATACAGCTCAGGCATAGTACTAGGGAAGCATGCCCATATCCTAGGTTTAACATACAGTACTGCCAAAACAAACAATCAAAAAATCCATAACAACAACAACCAAAAAACCAAACCCCAGAACAACAAAAAGAACAGACAAAAAACAACAACAAAAAACAACAAACCAACTGAAAACAACAAAACCCTCCAAAACAACAAAACAAACAAACAGAAACAAACAAACACACCTAAAGCACAGCTACTTCTAACAGTTACTAGGTAATGGCCACCAGATAACAAGACAATGCCAATAAGATCTCGCTCTTGAAGCAACACAGAATTCAGGCCCACATCATTAAATAAAACGAAAGAAGCAATATGACTGGGTTTAAGGGCTCAATTTACAACAGAGATGCATTCAATGTGTGGGCATCCCAAGGTTCTGCCTCCTGGGGAGGAGAGGCTGTCCCTGTGTTCTGCAGGCCTCCACTTCACCCAGGCTGTTACACTCTGCAGATTCCCCTGCTCTGTATTCTCAGGCATGCTGGGACACCAACAACTTAGGACAGCTTCGAACCTGGGTGCCTCCTGACACAGCAGACTGGCCAACCCCAAACCTGCTCTTGTCTACCCTGTTCCCCTTCCCCCAGAAACAGAAAGAACAGCCCCTGTGCTAATGCCCCTCGTCCCTCCATCTCCCGACTGACCCTGGCACTTCCATGTGCTGGACCATGCCTACTGATACATGAGCAAACTTCCTGCAATAGTCCTCTATGTTTGCACACCCAGTTAGAGCAAATTCTAGACATAAAACTTGAGATATAAACAGCTGTGTGTGGGATTTAAAGGTTAAAAGGCAGAAATTACTGCAAGGCTCTGACATAAACACATTGCTGAGAGAGGACTATAAGTGGGGCAGATCTACAGTCTGGGGATGGAACCCAGGGTCTCACACATACTGACCTACACACCCATTCCACAGGGCACATTCTAATATGGCAGCAACCAACCTCAAAATTGCAGTCTGCTTGGGCTCCTGCTTGCCATGGGCTGGGAGAGCAGCCACACTTCCAACTTCTTAGCACTATGCAATGTTTCCCCCCTGACAACAAACTGTCTCAGGAATGCATCTCATTTCTGATCACTACCATGGTCAGAACTCTGCCTTGGGGTTGGGGGCACTCTTCTCCATCCTCACAGGGGTGGTAGGCAAGTAGCATACAGTCCATAACCAGCATTTCATGACTAATAAACTAGACAGAATGAGCAAGCTTGAATACATAGCATTCAGACAAAAGGAAGTTAGAAAAGAAAGCTATAGAATATTATTATATTTATACTTTACATTTAT